CAACCTTCTGAGTGAGAAGGGTCAAAGGAATATCTCTGAGAGGTTCAAAGGGCAGCTTCTGCAGAGCCAACAGAACTGAGTTGAAGTCCCACAGATTCACCAGAGTGTGTAGGAAAACATGACTTGTCTACAGGTCTGCATTCTGGAGATTCATCAGAATATCTACACAGTAGCACAAAGCCACAAGGAAGAGCTCTAGATGTTTAAGGACTGTGGGGTTCATCAATATGGACCCAGAGTCTGAAGCCATAGCCTTTGACCATGTAGATAAGGCCTGACAAACCACCATGGTGGCAACAGCGGGTTGCATAGAAGTGCAAGGTTTAAAGGGGGCCTCTTGTCCTTGTGGTCCTTCTAAATAGGGACATCATCTACAGGGACCATAAATGTCTTGTTACACAAGACACAAGAAGAACAGCCCGTTTTTTTTAGGAAACCCCCCTTTTCAACAGGGTATTGATCTGCAAACCGTTTAGGAGGAGTAAACAGTTTTTCAAGATGATCGCAGTCACTGTACAACACCTGCCGCAAAACAGTATGTAAAGGGAAGGTTTTGACATGTTTGGCCATTTTGGGCAACGCAGACTAGTGATCTTCAGCAAGGTTGACACAGGCAGATCTAACTGTAAACAATTGTGTACCATAGCCACAAGAACAGGAATAATGTCCTTGGGCATGTAAGAGATGTTAGGAGGCAGATCCTCTTCCTAGACTGAATCCACAGAAATGGAAGCAGTCCCTTCTTCATCATCAGGAAGTGCACAATCGGACCGGGGGAAGGTCAGAAGGAGACTCTAATGGGGAAGAAGAGGGACTTGCTTATGCCCCCTGTGATGCGAGGACTTTAAGAATGCAGATTTTGTTCATAAATTCTCCCATTAGAGTGGAAAATTCTTCCCTGAACTGGGTGGTGGTGGATGCCCTGGGGTGTACTGAGGAGGACCCTGAGGCAGGGAGTGAAGGAGCAGAGCATAGGGCTAACAAAAACAGCATTCTTAGAGAGGACAGAACCATCCCAGAACCACAGTTAGGCTGTGAAGCCCCAGAGCCTGATGCCCAAGTCTACCAGTGCCTATTATTCACCAGAATGAAATATTCCAGTATGCACAACTGTGGAGGAGGAAGATGCCTGGTGAGCCAACTCCATAGGCAGTGCATGTATCAAAACACAGTGATCAGTAGAAATCTGGACTCCCTCGGCATACAGTGTCGCAGCCGCAGGAACAGACTTTGTTGTCTGCTAAGCATGCACTAGAAAGGAAAATGGTGTGTGCATGTGCAGCAGGATTCCCCATAGGAAGGCTGTGTCCAATCACCTGATGGTAGCTACATAACCCATCTGTTAAAGGATTACCTCCCTGTGTTCTGTGAGGTACAGTCAAAAAATAAAATTAGTCCTATGTAGCTGCAGAGAAAATAATCCTTTATCTGATCTTATCTCACTTTCAAATCTGTTTTTGGTGCATGGCTTCAGTAGTTTGCCTTCTTTGTAACTGACTTCTGGTGTGAAACCTGCCTAATTGCTTTGTGACCCATCTTGGTATGGATGACCTGCCAGTCCCCACTAGAGAGGCCGTTGTGGGGTTCACATTGAGGGATCAAATACACATCAAATAAGTTCTAACACAGCACTGGTGGATTTGGTGAAGCCTGGGTAAAATTCTGCTAGTGGTGAGGAGCATCCTCCTCTATTTTTGCTCTGTCTGTACAGATTCTTGTATGCTAAATACCTAATTTAAAGTATTGTCTAATGTAGCTAACATTTATTATGTCTGTCCTAAATGTAAGCCCTTCCACAGAACTACATAGCGTTCCACCTAAGAAGCTGTGATGTTTATAAATAAATACATTTGAAATTAATACAATTTGGAGAAACTAGCAGCAAAGTTAGGAATCACATGTTCATACATGTGCTTAAATGAGCATTCTTGTGAATCAAGCATCCATTGCCAACTTCTTTCAAGTTGCTTAAAAGGTCAAAAGTGATACCTTTAAAAACCTTAGCAATGCAGCCACCCAAAGAGATGGAAAATCTCCAAAATTCTTATTTTTTCCCTACAACAAACTGGAGGGAAAAGCAGTTTCTGCATTGACCTTTGCGTGTCTCTCCACCCATTGTTATGCAGCTTGATAGCTTCCATTGCAATGATCAGTGCAACAACCATTAGCGACTTTGCCAAAAGTATTGGGACACCCCTCCAAATCATTGGATTCAGGTGTTCCAATCACCTCCATATCCACAGGTGTATAAAAGCAAGCACCTAGGCATGCAGACTGCTTCTACAAACATTTGTAAAAGAATGGGTCGCTCTCAGGAGCTCAGTGAATTCAAGCGTAATACCGTAATAGGTTGCCACCTGTGCAATAAGTCCATCTGTGAAATTCCCTTGCTGCAAAATATTCCGTGGCCAACTGTTAGTGATATTATAACAAAGTGGAAGCAACTGGGTACAACAGACAACTCGGCCACAAAGTGGTAGGACACGTAAAATGACTAGAGCGGGGTCAGCACATGCTGAAGCTCACAGTGTGCAGAAGTCGCCAACTGTCTGCAGAGTCAATAGGTACAGACCTCCAAACTTCGTGTGGCCTTCAGATTGGCACAACAACAGTGCGTAGAGAGCTTCATGGAGTGGGTTTCCATGGCCGAGCAGCTGCATCCAAGCCTTACACCACCAAGTGCAATGTAAAGCGTCGGATGCAGTGGTGTAAAGCACGCTGCCACTGGACTCTAGAGAAGTTGAGACGTGTTCTCTGGAGTGACGAAGCACGCTTCTATGTCTGGCAATCCGATGCACGTGTCTGAGTTTGGCGGTTGCCAAGTGTAAAGTTTGGTGGAGGAGGGATTATGGTGTAGGGTTGTTTTTCAAGGATTGGGCTTGGCCCGTTAGTTCCAGTGAAGGGAACTCTTAAGGCATCAGCATACAAAGACATTTTGGACAATTTCATGCTCCCAACTTTGTGGGAACAGTTTGGGGATGGGCCCTTCCTGTTCCAACATGACTGCGCACCAGTGCACAAAGCAAGGTCCATAAAGTCATGGATGACCAAGCTTGGAGTGGAGGAACTTGACTGGCCTGACCTTAAACCGATAGAACACCTTTGGGATGAATTAGAGTGGAGACTGCGAGCCAGGCCTTCTCGTCCAACATCAGTACCTGACCTCACAAATGCGGTTCTGGAAGAATGGTCAAACATTCCCATAGACACACTCCTAAACCTTGTGGACGCCTTCCCAGAAGAGTTGAAGCTGGTATAGGATGCAAAGGGTGGGCCAACTCAATATTGAACCCTACGACTAAGACTGGGGTGCCATTAAAGTTTACGTGCGTGTAAAGGCAGGTGTAACAATAATTGTGGCAAAATAGTGAATCTTACCCCTGATAATTTCACTAAATGTAAATATATTACCTCACTTTACATATCTTCATAGCTCTTACCTGACCGGTCCTTACAGAACAAATCTGATACAGTAATACAAAATCTGTACTCCACTTTTATCCCCTGGGTCAATTCCTATGAGGAACACCATCGCTATGGTGTTACCGTCTTCTAATTTCAAACATTAGGATGTGTTCTACCCAAAACAGTCTCTATGGCTTAGGCGTTTGTACATCTGTGGTAGAGACATTAAAGTGTATGTAAACCCAAACAATAAACTTTTCCTATTTTCTCCCATGTGGTCAGGTGAATATACCATCCATAGAATTTTGTTATATCTGTTAAAAAAAAGTGCAAACAATACCTGTTAACTCTGAACAAAATCCAGTGAGCTTGAAATTTCCCGTACATAATGCACTGTTATCAGTTATCATGATTATCATTTGCATAGTTTTTATCTCTATAGTAGAGAACACCTCTCCACTATGCTATGTAAAAAAGGAAATAGGGAGATGTTCTATAGTCCAAATTAGAAGTGAGCAGGGTAGGGTGACAACGCTACTGCTCCAAAGATACAGAGAGTGAGCATTGTCTCCTTAGGACAGGAAGTATGTTACTAGCAGGTCACCAGGTGAAGATAAAGGGGAAAAAAAAGAAAACAAATGCAGCCAAAAAATCAAAGGACTGGTAAGCTGCAATGTGTTAAACTTTTGTTTTTGGGTTTAGACATTAAACAATATAAGTTAGGACTGGTATGTTCTTTGAATGGCCTATGTACTTTGTAAAAAGCTAATGAATTTGTATGCTTTTCATAAATGAATAAAACAAAAAAAATTATATTGGTATTTACCCATTAGAATGATACTCGGTATATGAGATATTAGCGTATTATTACTGTTACCTGGTTTAATCACTGGTTGCAGCCATTAGCTCGTAGCTTTTGCTCTGCATTTTCACTTCCAATATAAATAAACACTTTCACAGAGGCAGGACACTCTATTCAATATGCCAAGAACCCCCCAGTAATTTCCTCTTGTGTCTGGCATTATCTGTCTATCCCAACAGCCAGAGAAAAGCAGAACAGTAGCATTACAGACTTTGCATGTAACATTGAGAGGAATTCTAAGCAAAGCACACATTACTAAGTGTATTCACCCACTGCTGCACCATAATTATTTGTATTGTCTTCACACCCCATTCTAGAGCTCAGTGGAATATATTGGCATGCTTAAAATTATAATGAGATTCCAAATTCAAATAAATATAAATGAAAATTACTGCATAGGAGCTAGGAAACACAATAAGCCAAACTTAACAAAAATCATATTCAGAATGCATTAAATAAAATACAAAAGGCAAAAAGCTCCACTTACTGAGCATTATGTTAATCAACATAGGTATTAAATGGCACAGGAGTAAAACACTTACTTAATAACTGCAGGGAAACATTATTTTACACAGCACAATACATGGATCGGTAGAGTGCACTATGACCTTATTTGCATACATTTGCTGTGTTTAAGTTCTGTATTCCTAAGACACAGTGAAAGCCATTAATGTAGTTAATGGTGCACATTGCATGTTACTATTCAGCATAGTTGGAAATTTTCTTTACTTACACGACAGCATCCACGGGTGTCTCCAGGCGTGGGGAAGTGCAGCCCAGGATCTCCCCTGGTGACAGTGGCTTACTCTGGGGAACAGTAATTTTGTACTCTGAACGTAGGGCTTGGACAGCTGCCTGTAAAAAGAAGCATAGAAAAGACAGGAATGCGTTAATAAAAGGCAGTAACAAAGAAAGATAAAATACTATATCTAAACTCAAAAACAAAAATGTTATATATTGCTGCTAACCAGTCCTTTGATGCGGTTGCATTATTTTTTTGCCTTTATGCTCACCCTGTGATCCTGCCAGTAACACACTTTCTATCCCAGTGTAACAACAATCACTCACAGTACTTTATATATGAAGGTAACAGTTTTTGTCACTCTAGGATATAACTATAGAAATCTACCTGTCTTCTCTTCTCCAATGACGGCAGTGTTTTGTAATCTACAGAAATAACAGGGAGTGATGTAGCATAGGCCGGGGGCAGAGGAAACAGCTCACAAGATCTCTGGCAGGATCAACAGATATTTTTCTCCCCTCATGGAACAAATATAACAAAATGGTTTCAATGGTATTTTTTACATACTGAAGGGAGCAAATAAGAGAAATTGATTGTAAAATTTTACATACACTTTTAAAAGAGAACTGAGAATATTGTTTTAAATAAGGAGCTATTGAAATTACCAAATTAAATCAATTCACTCAGAAAACTGGAAGGCTTAGTTTAGGCACCTCTCATAATGCTGCATCCTTATCTTCTTTCTGCTTTATTCTTTTTTTTACTAAAAAATAATAATAATTTAAAACAAATACAGAAAACATTAACAGAGTAAACAACATAATGGTTAAGGTCGGTATCAAAAGAGAGATTTGCGTTAACAAGATATTATAGTTACAGAAGACATTTTATGTCAGTACAACGAAAACAATATCAGGAAATAAAGGCTGATGTCTACAGATAATGAATTATATGTGTATTTCATGACCAACAGGACGTGTATAACTATTCTGTGGGTTTGGTTGTGAGAGACCTTGGGATTCCATTAGTGATTGTAGACTATATGACTGTGAGGGGAGAACTACCAGAAAAGGCAGTGGAAGAGGTAAGTTGGAGAACGGTGAAGAGACATTATCATGAGGGAGCCAGTGGGTGTAAGGGTAAACAGTAGCCAAAAACCTGTACATTATGAGCAAAAGAGGACTTCAGAGGAAAACAAAGGTAAGAAGGGGAGGGTAGTAGATGCAAGACTAGGAGGTGACCGCTGGAAGACTGAGAAATCCGTTTAGTATAAATATGATGGGCACAGTTAAACCACCTGGTAAAGAACCTTTAATCAGTGCCCTTAAGGGAACTGGTGAGATCTTCCATGTGTTTAATATTATTTATTCTGCATTTACCAAATGAATATCAACTGACCTCATATAGGTTTTAAAGGGAAAGGTGATGTAGAAAGATGGCAGGGTTTACGGGAATCATGAAGTCAATAAACGTGTGATGATGTGGACCAGCATTGGTGGCGGAAGTCCAGGAAAATGAAATGTAGGGTGTGTGTGTGGGGGGATGAGGGGGGGTTATGGGGGATGGTCACTATCCTATCACTATCTTGTACCTGGATTCCTCATGAGCTGAGATGCACTTCTCAGAAAAGACTCTCTGGGCTGTTCATCAAGTGGGACTCACCATTGAGTGCAGTTTGAGAGCTGAAAGGGTGGAGTGGGGGCACCAGGGGAGTGCTTAAAGGAGGGTAGGAGACAGCTTTTTCCACAGGTATCCACAGTTTAGGACCCCATGTCTATACCAGTTGATTCAAATGAGATGCACAGCCACATGGTACAGTTTAATATCATGAAAGGCTATGCTCCCCTTGCCCTTGGTTTTATGTAGTATCGTGTGATTCAGGTTGGCTGTCCAAATTGTTGAGAAGTGAGTAGATTTGAAGAAGGGCTGTGCTGTCTGCTCTGTTATATGCAGACTGAACAGGTAATGCTCCTGTTTGTTATAAGATTTTCTTCCCTCACTCTCCTTAGTATTATAAGTTCTGAATGGATAAAAAGTGAGTGGTCACACGCAGGAACTAAGATTCAAAACCCCGTATATGCACACGGTAGTTATTGTTAAAAAACTACAAAGGAAAGTCTGGTTTTAAAGAAATTGTTCTAATAAACAGATAAGGGAAAATGTAGTAATCTTTTTAATAAAAAAAAAAAACGACATCCCTAAATTCAAACAGTATAAATAACTGACTTTGACTTAATTTCAACCTCTTCTAATAGACTGTACAGCAGGGGCGAGCAGCACTTGGGACCACTTGCATGTCCTTCATTCACATGTGCCGACAAGGACATACCGACAGGAGAGAAAGCAGAGAGATCTCAGTTTATAGCTGCTCTTTTACTGACCAATCACAGGCTGGATGCAATGAGGTGACCTTGCTTTGCTTCTTTATTTCAATTAAAAAAAAAGTTAAGTCACCAGATTGAATGCAATGTTTGACAGGGCTGTGTAAATGTCCAGACTGGGTAGCCAGAAATACATATCCTTTGGCAGTTCAGATATATGTATATGTCGTGTGTATTTAACAGTTTGCCTGGAGTTTAGCTTTAATGACAGTTAAGAAAGGAAAATAAGCAGCTCTTCTATCTCTCTGGGAACTCATCGGCTCACCCATCTATTGCAGCTAGAAAATAAAAAACAGTGAAAAGTGTCTTACTGTACCATATTTCTAAATTTAACTCTGACCCTAAACTCGGACATATTTCTTGCTCTTGATCATTGCCATTCCCCATGGTAGCCCAGTGAATCCAAAAAGCATCCATCAACTTGTTGTGATAGTTCTGCAATTGCTGTTCAAAACAGATAACAGGACTCATCCGTTGATTTCAGAGGGCAAAATAAAAGGATAATAGAGGTGCTCACGCTGGTGAGATAGAGAACGTCCGAAGGCCGTGATGCCGGCATGATGAAGCTCTCTTTATACACATCCTCACAGCCTGACGGTTATTTGAAGCTAGTAGAAGATGATGAAGTGGAAAAGACACAGAAAACTGAATAAACAGTTAGACTAGGATTGATAGGAGCAGGAAATCCTGGCATGATTGGGCCATCTTTTCCTGGATCCTCTTAATTGTTCCAAAGGGACTGCTAATTTTCCGAGAGTGACCGAGATCTGGGACTTAACTAGTCTTTTAACCGTGGAGGCTTCCAGTGTGTGGGATGGTGTAATGAGAGATCAAAGGATTCTGTTTTCCCTTTGTGATTAAATGAGTAAACAATTTCCTCTTCCCTCTCCTCTACAGTATGAAAAATGAAAGAGTTATAGAGTGATGTTGGAGCGATTACTGCTCAGCGGATGGAATTTGTCAACATCCATTTTAAAACAGATGGTTGAGGACAGGGAGGACAGGGAAATAAACAACAAAATGATTACAGTGTCCTCGTTTCTATACTCTGCAGACAAAAAGCAACCACCACGGGTCGAATGCGGGACCATTCCACAAACTGTGAAACTAATTTCCTAAGGCCAGGAAAAGATGAATTCTTATAAAAGCTAACAACTCGCTTCCAGCTTACCAGAGTATCTGCTGATATCCTTTAGATAAACACGGATGGAGAAATGTACAGAAGCTCCGGCAGACCCAAGGAGAGATACTTGTCAGGTGGTACCCATGCCCTAAAAACAATATATTTTCCCTGGGCTGGAATAATTAGTAACAGCAGCAAATAAAGAGACGTCAGCCAAAATGATTTCCCTAATACACCAAATCTTTTATATAAATCATTCCCTAAATATTATACAATATTAAGCTTCAAAACTGATAGACTACACCAAAGTCGATGTAAACCCTAACTCAATTATATTTTGTTCACTAAAAACACTTTATCACAACAGTTGCCTTTTTTTAAGCTAAAATCTTTTTTTTTATCTTGCATCTGATCTCCTTCATCCACTTTGCAGCCACTCTTTGTCTACATACATGCACAAGATGGTTGCATGGCAATTCTTAGGGTGGGTATTCCTGATGGAGACAACAGTGGGCCTTGCCTAGTGTAATGTGTGCTAAGATGGATTCTTGTAGTTGGAAGAGCATGTGACAGAGTAACAACATGGAGCACAATTCTCAGAGCATCGTCACCCTAAAGCAGAAAGTGCCTGAACAAAGATCTTCATGGCAGGATCAACAAGTATTATTTTCCTGAATGTTGCAAATTTAAAATATTGAAAATTACCTTTGAAATGACATTACTATGTTAAATCTTATATGAGATTTACACAATTGTGAGTTTATATATTTCAGAAACCACCTCCAGCTAAAACGTTTTTTTTTGAAATTCTGAATAGAATAGGTAAGAGATGATACTTATGTCAGGTTTGTGTTGGTATCTCTGACTCCATTAAGCAGAGATTATTTCTTCTTTTGTGACAGGTTTCCTTTAACAGTACACACAACAATTTAATACTGATGTTCATTTCCTGAACATGAAGTAGAAGTGCACAAACGGTCCCAATAAATATGTCCATGAATTTACAGATCACATTGAAGACTTGTGGTGACCTTACTTTCGCAGTCTGCTCATAATATAGATACACATGTAGGTGCCTACTTGATATAATTCACAATACTCTATAGAAGGAGTCAACATGGTACAGGATCAATAGAGGAAGAAAGTGGCATGGCAGACTTTGATATGACACAGGCTATAACACTATTATAGTAGTTAAACTGCATCAGTTTCTGGAAGGTAAGTTATATTTTGGATGAAGAGGACAAAGGTGTGAGTGTGTGAGGGTATGTAGTAGCTACGCATTTAGATACAATTATATAATTGCTGAGGTACTACTTACTCTTCTAATGCATATGTGAAGCTACCTGGTGGAACTCAACGACAGATTTGGGCAATGCTGATTAAGGAAATCAGGGGCAATAATGGAAGACGTATGAATTTATTGGATGATGATATCTGCAACAGGAGGTGACTGGGTATTTTGATCAGTTCAAATGTGCATTTGATAGGTTGCATGACAGAAAACACACACAGTTCTGATTACCTGTTCTTCACAACAGAATTCTGTTGAAGTGAAATAGGGACCCATCAAAAGAGATTTCAGAAGACCTAAATAGCTTAGTGGTAA